CTACCGTGATGCAGGCCGCTTCTTTCTTTTACTGGCGAGACTCGACGTTGAATCTTGCGTTCTTCCAGAAAGAACACCCATCAAACTGTAAGCAGTCAAGTTCGTTTTCGTCTTTCTTAAAATACACCAAAAATTACGAGTTGACTTCATTCTCACCTACAAAATAGAACTTACACTTGTCAACTTCGGAGAGATTCCAATCAAAATCAATGTTTGCCACTTCAAAGTAGGCATAGACGAAAAATGTCAGAGCACGATCTTTTCTCATGATCGCCTCAGATCAGGACGATCACCCCGTTTGAGAAGCGCTTCGATTTCTATTTTTCCGATAAATCAATGAGAGTGACAATAAACTAGTGGTAGCCAAAACATATCCTTCCATAAAACTCAGTTTTCGGTATTTTCAATTTATTAGAAAAATCCAAGATTGAGTCGAGAAAGACCAACGGATTTCAGAAGACGGTTTAAAATGATGCGAAAGGAGGATATGGGAAGAAAAGTGTGATAGGAAATTTATTCATTGATCAACAGTGAAACGGACAATGCTGTCTATTTGAGCGTTAAAAAGAACTTCAAAATAAATTCGAAAACAAAATAATATTCAAAGATGACGCAACATTGTAAGGATATAGTATTTTTACAAGAAATCTAATTGGAGTGAAATGACGTTGAGTTTTACTGGAACTTAAGAGAAAGAAAGAAATGAAATATTTCTCGGAGACTCGTTTCATAGATCAGATGGATAACTGTGCAACGCACGTTTCTGAGGTTGGTTAAAAAACAGCACTGTAATTGCTGTATGAGACGGATCCGTTCGAAGAATCCATTCATTTCCCATTAATATTGTTTAAAATGCATCTGATCATTCCCGGTCGCATCTCGTCACGATATATTAATTACTGATGTTCCGTGAACTTCTCGCTTCATTTACCGAACGAGACACTCAGCATGTACCATCCCCTACCATCCTGCTCCCGTCCCGTCTCGTCTCGCTGAGTTCTCATTGGATTACTTCTAGGCAACGATTATTTCGAAGATATGTTTCTAAACGGCACGTAACCAAAAACAAACTCTTCAGGTGATCGTTTGTTATTCTCCAATTCTCTCTGTATTGAAGTATCCATTCCCTCAAGATTCATCTCACGATGCAATGATATCGCCATCATTACGAACTTTTCCGCTTCCAACCGTTCTGATTGCTGAAATTCGCAATTATCGTTGCAACAGTTCATCTTTTGTTTCTATTTAAATAATGATTATACAACATCAGTGACTAGTATTTGACTGGAAGAGACAATTTAAACATAAAATCATAGTGGTTTAGAGATGAGGATGGCTTACTTTGAGAAGAATAATGAAATCGATGCTGAAGATTATGGCGAGTATGACGAATACAATTCCAGCAGTTATCATCCCATATGGCACCACTTTTGCATCAGTGCATAAATCAAATATTTGCTTCCTTATCTGGAAGCAATTGAGTTTTCAGTAAATTTTAACTATTGATTTGTCGCGCATATTCAGATCAGTTTAGTTTATTTATCACTACAAATTAAATTTTCTCCAGAACGTCTTTACAATATAACAAATTCGAAAAACAATGTTGTATTTATGGAACAATTCACGTCTCCCCATCAGATTCCTTCCCACAAAAAGCAAAAATTGACAAAAGTTGAACTCGATTGGGTCATTCTCTTCATTGAAGTTTGCAGTTAGGTAAACAGTACAGTGTCATCGTTCAAATCAACTCAAAATTAAGTCGCTCTCAAGTTCATGAGTTCAAAAGAATGAGACTGCTTTGCATCAGAAATCGACTACTGTTATTGATTCGAAATGATATGTAACCTACCTCATCAGTTTTGAAAGAAACTACATAAAGATGGCAAATTTCTGTCCAAAACAAACCAATTTCTATTGCATTCGACAGATAACCCTATAAGCAGGATGTATTAATTATTGATGTCTCTGTTTCACTGTTCTGGCGTGCTGTTCTGTTCCTCTTCAGTCGTTCCGTCCTCTTCTGTTCTATACTTTCATTGTTCTAAGCAGATCTGACCCGTTTCGTTCATAAACCCCAAATTTTATAACTGTTTTGTTCCATTGTAATAGAGGGAACACGGATAAAGCAGGAACAGAATAGTTCATTCGGAACACAGGAACTGCTAGTACTGATGCAGAGATAGGTAACTAGATTAATGTCGAAAATCCTGACGATCCCATGAAAGCCTTCGAGATGGCCTTGTTAAAAACAGCTGTATTAAAGATCCTTATAAGATGAATTTATTTCAACGGTATTTCAACTTATTATCCGAAAACTCTGAATCGGCTACCTCGATTCAGCTCAAGTTAAACGACTGTCATTCAAGATCAAAAATTTTTTGCATAATAATCCAGTGGTGATAAACAGGAACAATACTTTTGGCTGCTAGTAATAATCTAAACATTTGATCGATTCGTAATTTTCGGATAGTCGTTTCACCTCAACAACAGCGAAGACGAGAAATAAGGCAATTTCAACGATATCGAGCATTGCTTCTTCCATAAAATCATCACCTTGAAAGGTGCACCGAAAACAAATTATCGAAATAAGTATCGGAAATGCGAGTAATAAACATCCGGATACAACGAATCTAAATTATAACTTTGTTTGAGTTCTCTTATCGCTACAACGATAATTGTTTATTTCGATAAAATGATGCGAAGAATGCACTAATAATCCCGTGCAGCAGTTACCAACGCTGTTGAAATTTTATTAGATGTTACGGATAAAATTTGGTTTGCAGCCTAGAACGCTCTATCTAGCACGTCACTCTCAACTACAGTTCCCTTTTTGAGCAAAATATTCATCATATAGTAATAAGGAATGAGGAACATTGTTAATCTTAGTTGAGTATTTGTTTAAAAATTGGTTGACTATTTTCAAAAAAATAACGAATTATAGGAGAAACTTTTGTCCATTTAGTGGATATCGAATACTTGCAGATCGTTCCGAGTTATAGAATTGTTGTTCAGGTCGTTCGTGAGTTTCATTCAAGGTTTTGTAATATGATGATTTTGAGATGATTGCGTTAATAAATATTGTCTCCTCAATCCACCATAACGGGTCGGCAGGACATGTTTCATTGATCATCTCTCTGATTCGATTTGCTACACTCACTTCAAATAAAAATGAGTTAGGAAATGAAGTGAGATGATGGTCAAATTCGAACTGAATATGAAGAGCCCATATTCAGTTGACGGTCAGCTTCTACAATATGGATCTCAACAGTCGCAAACTTCAGCGACCACGGTTGCGGTAGTTGCAGTTACGCATCTGGCCAAGGGGCGAACCCATATTTGATCTGTTTTATCGTTCCCTTTTTCGGAAGCATCGCTGTGAGATTGAGTTTGTGAGCCAATGATGAACAGTTATATGTTATGAAAATAATGAGTTTCGGGCGTAGGTATCCGTAATAGCAAACAATTTATGAAAGTTTGGCTAACGTCGTAAGAGAATGAGCTGATGAAGCGAATAAGCGAACTCACAGTTATTCGGATTAATTTCGGTATATTCGAGATGAACACAAGGGAAGAATATCATTGTCAGCCAGGCAGCAATTAACAGAAACAGCGCACAGAGTCGTAGAAGCGTGAACTGAAAACAAGTCGGAAAGCAACCCAGCTTCTGCAGTATAACGTTGTTCAACGTGTCGTCCTCTGAAACACGCTTGACCCAGTTCAAAATTATTTCTTTGTAACATCATGGATGATTGATTGATTGATTGCAGTGAATCTGAATGTGAGTGCAGTGAATCTGAATTGCAATCTGAACTCAACAGTTTGCTGATAATGCATAAAATTCTCACAACAGTTCCTTCAGTTTTATCGAGCATAAAGGAATCATTAAACGAGAACATAATGTTTCTGTGATTCAGTATGTCAAGATACAGCAGCCCTGTAATGAACACAATGCATAGCGATAAAAACATGATCCCAAAACGTTGCTAATCATACGTGTTGGAACTTCTTTTAATGACTGAATATCCAAAATATCAGCTCCTGTCGGTAGAGGTTGTGAGCTAGGATTCGACTTTTCATCGACTGGTGGCGGAGTTGGCGGTAATTCCGATTTGGATGAATGAATTATCAGTCGTTGTTCTTCACGAATGGATGGATCTGCAGGCATTTGCATTGATCACGTTTACACAACAATGATGTATTGTTGATTTATATGGAATACATTGTTGATTTATTCATATGGAATACACTTGCTAGTAATGATTCATCCAAAATCACTCACATCAGGAACAAAGAGAACTGAGACAATAAAGGCTAAGTCCACGAGAGACTGCGTAGGATATGCATAAACTTTACTTTCGGTAATTTAGCTGATGCGATTATCTTCGAACATGTTTGGATGAGAATGAAAAAAAAAATCGCGATCATTGACGAAGACATACAATTTTGAACTTCTTAGTCAATGCACATTCTAAACAGTTCAATATCACACACTCATTTTATTGCTTTTTTCGAACATGACAAATATAAGATGCTTTGAAAGAAACTGACAGACTTCATGTAAGAAGTAGGGCGGAAGGCAAATTATCAAGAAACAAGAACTGTAACCTTCTTGGGTAGGGTCGAAAATGACAGATGGCTGTGACCTATTTTCTGCAATCTTCGCTGCTTCTGCAAAAATTCAAATTATAATATGGCTTAAACGGTTGCTGAATCCTTCGGCAATGTGTCACAAATGATCAATAGTACACTCTAAGCGGTGCTATTGTTGTTTGATGTTACCATTACCTGTAGTTCAGTATAAGAGAGCTGGATACAACAGCCCTGTTAAGAACAAAATGCTCAATCGCATAATGACATCCCAAAACGTTGCTAATCATACGCGTTGCAACTTTTTTAAATTTATGAATATGCAAAATATCAGCGCCTGTCGGCAGAAAAGAAATCAATCCTCGAACAAAGTTGCAACTAATCGTATGTGTGCATAATGCCCACTGCATTTTTTCGAAATCAATAACTTATATTGTTTTGCGAGTCGGTTTTGATTGCGCTCAAACTGAGCATAACTCAGGCTTCAACGCAAACTGCATGGAACTGACCGGTGATCGGTGTTTCTGAAGTGTCCAGAAAGGTTTTACCGAATCTGGAACCGTCATTGCTGACTTTTGGCGTGGTTTTTGTACGCAGCACTTGAACAACATTCGTTTTCGATTTGGTTTCACTTGATGAGATTTGTGTTTCGCAGTTGAGTTCAGCATTCCGCTTGTTCGATAATTTGCTCTCATGAGAAACTGTCATTCATCGGATTAGTGGTGGATTAATAAGCATTTAAATGAAGTGTCAAGCATGCCCTTCAGTAGGAAGCAAAATATTTCTGTTATACTGATATCAGCCTCAATTATTGTCAGGAATCTCCATGTAGCACCTCTTTT